TGTGCCCAAAAGCTTGCTAAGAACTCTTTTCCAACTACTCAGTTGGTCTAATAAAAGATATCACATCTACGCAAAGAACCTATGCAAAGAACCTGCCTATGTCCTTAGACCAACATGGCTACAACCAAAAACCCATCAACAGTGCATGGCATGGCATTAGTATTAAAATACCCAATGGAGAAAGGTAACAGCACTTCAAAGAAGATATATGCAACTGGCCCCTGGAATTTACAAGTATATTCTTTGCACTTCAGGGTCAGTTGCCCCTTCCTCTTCCCCTCATTCCCCACTGGAGAATGGGGAAAGGGTAGGCAAGGGGGTCAGCTCCATACTTATTTGATTAAAAAATTTAAATTGCATATGCTGCCATGAATATCAATGTACAAAACTTCAGTAAAAGCAATTACCTTCCTGTCCTGAAACAGTGCCCCAACATGGAGCATCACAGTGTACTCTGATTATTTCTGACAATTCTGACACTGGAAAAGGAGCAGCAGCACTGAGCGATTGAAATGCAAAACTAGCAGGTAGGGAGTTGGGAGACTCCCAGTGCCACCGACTCCCAATGTGATTTTGGGCATATCACTTTGCTCCCAGTCTTGGTTTCTCTGCTCAGAGGTGCTGCAAGGCTCAATTCACTGGTCTTGGCTTCTGTTCCTACCTCTGCTTCCAACACACACAGGGGGCAGTAAACAAGTTATTTCATAGATAGCTTTGTTTTACAAAAGGGAAAACTGAGGCCTAATACAAAATATCGCCACTCAAAAGCGGTACAGGGCTTAATTTGTTCAAGTTTAAAATCCTTGAATGCAAAGTCTCAGAGAAGCTAACTGTGGTTCAGTCTCCTTGGTGCTCACACAAACCCTTCCAGGGACAACAATACAACAATAACATTGCAAAAAACTTTTCCTTTTGTTACAAATTCATCTTTAAAGGTAGAAGGGGGAGGAGGGGAAGAGAGCCACTTTAAGAACACAGCTCTGCATCGATACCTTTCCCATGCAAAACGCATCATTTCTAAGAGCAGGGTCATCCATTACAGAGCTCCTGTGATGACCCAACAGTCATAACCACAGGCTGTCAAAAGAACCCCTTTGAATACAGTCAGTACAAACACTGCTTTGAATTGCTAACAGATATCTGAGTATTAAAGTCACGATCCTTGATTGAACCAAATGGGTAGAAAGCCATTCTTGTGTGCTATAGAATGGCTGCAACTTGCTTTTTAGAGATAACAATTCTGAGCAATGCATCTAAATTACTTTTTCTTCTTGCCTTACAAGTAATAGACAGGCTAGACATTACAGGACCTACAAGGCAAGAGAGAAAGCCACTGGATAAGCTTTGCTACAGTGCGTATGTGTGTGTGAGAGAGATGTACAGAGAGCTGCCATCTTGTAAGTCGTGTGCTATAAATCTCTGAAATTTTGGAAATGGAGCAGCTAAACAACTGGCTTGATTTCTTGACTCCCAGCAGCTGGGATGTGCCTCTGGGGCCCGTTTACATCATTATTCCTTAGATGTTTGTACAAACACTTTAAAGAAACCTTTCTGAGCTAATTGGGCCTGATTTTCCAGAGGTGCCGAGCTCCCCAAACTCCAATTAAAGTCCACAGGAACCACAAGAAATAAGACCATTACTGCAGAGTAAATTTATTGCTGTAATGCCAGACAGAAAGAAATTCTTTATACATAATTCTTTGTACATGGTTTTCTAGGTGGCATTTATGCAATGTGGGTGTGATTACCTGCTGTGTCCCTGGAACCTGGGCTGCACTCCCTTGTTATGCTAAAGGACACTATGTCCTACAAGTGAGCACCATGACTCTTCCTAGTAACAAGCGGACTGATTTGGACAGCTGGTGGTTCCTCTCGCACCCTAAACTGACTAATATGGTTAAGCCTAACAGAGTCTGGGAGCATAGGGCACCAGGGGGAAGGGGAAAAAGGCTTTCATTGCCTGCTCATGGCCTCCTCACAATGCCCACATCACCTCTACCTATACCCCTTTAAGTGCTACTTGCCTGAAGGAGAGCAGAGGATGGCATAGGGAGGGATCCACCTCCCTTCTGCCATCTTAGAAAGGAGATTAAGCTATACTTTCTCTCCTGGTAGCACAGTAGATCTCAGCATTCACTGCCTATAAACCTGCAGGAGGAGTTCTGACTTCCTGGTAGACTTTGGCTGCTTTGTGGTGCTTCCATATTGTGAGGGTGCCCAGGGCAGCATCCAGTAAGGCTGGGCATGCTGGTGTCCTCACAAGATTTGATTTTCAGCACATAGCCACAGGCAGCAGTTGGCATACAAGCCTGGACCGTGGACTCCCTCGCTCTGCCCATCCTCAACATTTGTGCAAAATGCCACTATTCTGATCGAGAAGTGATCTGCCTGCTAAGGCATCACAGAGGTGAAATCTCACACAAATGAATAAAACCACCTACACCTGCATTTGTTAAGCCCTCATGGGCACAGCATTGCAAATCCAGCCTTGCATCACCTTTCTGTATGTGTCCTATTTAGAAGATATAAAACTAACTCATTCTGAATGAAATGAACAAGAGAGAGCCCTTTATTACAGGCAATGAGAAACCCATCAGGATCTGATTTGCACTAATGCAGCATTAAGAGATCATGTGAAAATGTGTCTATATTTAAACTATCACTTTGTCTGACTACCTATTCACAGAGTGAGCCATTTAGTAATGGCAAATAAATGGGAACCAGATCTCTGCCCAAGTTTGGATCTTCCTAGATCTTTCTTGCTTTAAAAGAAAGAATATCTATCCACAGCTATAGTTGGTTTGTAAGTTCACAGATCTATGTGCTAAGTCAATGTCCAATCTAGAAAGAGATAAGTTATAGATTTAAGATTCCAGAATTCTCATGGTGGCAATATAGGAGACACTAGTGTATAGCCTACAGCTTCTAGAGGGAAATCTCATAGTTTCTAGATTGTGGAGGCCAAGAGCTATTCTAAAGCACAGTTACTTTCCAGAGTGTGAGATCCAGGTCAGCCACAAAACCCCGTTTCTCAGAGTGCTAAAATGCAAGTATAAGGCCTATAAATATAAATTCCTCTTCAAAGATCTATGGCTAAATCTTTACATGCTCTAAAAACTAGTACAGTTCCACTGACTTAAGCAGAGTCACAATGATTTTCATCAAATTAGGATCTTGCTTCTGGAACATAAAGGTGAGAAAAAGGTTTAAAAAAAAAAATAATCAAGCCCTAGGCTAATAGTTTTAAAAATGCTTAAAAAGGAAAAGACTGCACAGTTGTTGGCTCAGTTATAAAGGGAAAGTTTCCAGAAAAAGCTTTATGCTATAAATTTCCTGCATAATCATATACAATCCAATCATTATCTTCTGTTCAGAACTGCACACAACGTCAAAAAGGATGAAATTAGTGGCAGCAACCCAAACCCCCTGACCTTAAAAACTGTGTTAAACTCCTTGTTCAAAAGTAGAAAAGCATTTTCACTTTTCAAGGCTCTTACTAGTATTTTGCTCAATCTTTTTTTATGAGACAAGTCTGGAGGAGTTAGAAGTATAAATACATACATGAGTATCTGTTTAAGCATAAATATCAACCCTAACACAAAAGATCAAAGTAAGTAACTGCATCCTAGCTTGGGTCTTCACCCCTCTTAAACCTCATGCTTATTATGTAACCAAGGGGACAGCCAAGTAAATTATTGGCCTCTGCATGGACTGTTGGACCAATATGTTGTATAGTTATTAAGCAGACCACAGCATAATCAGATCTCATCCCAAATGACCCTCAAGAAATCAAGGCCAGCTAACACTACTGGACTGAACTATTTCAAGCAGCATAACCTGCCATACTGTGTCAAGTGCACAGGGCTTAGCCAGTCTTGACAAAGCCACCCTCTCAGCCTTAGGGATTTCCAGGAAGTCTTTGCTTCTGTCTATTCCTGTTACTAGTTATCTTCAAACCAAAAACCTGCCACAGACCATTAGGTAATTCATAGCAAAACTAATAAGGGAGCTTCATATTTGAAAAAAGCCCAGTATTACAACTAAGCAAACTATTGTTGATTACTACATTCATTCATTTCCTTTTCCTGTTCACAAACCACCAGTGAACTGCCTTAGATTCTCTGGGAAATGCAAACATACTCCAGCCTGCCAACTGCTCATGAACCATTCACCGTAATTATGGCTTCAGTTCATAGTGGCCATCTGAGCCACATGCTATTATTGCAGCTCAGCAACTGGATGGCTCTCCAAACTGTAAGGTGAACACTTTGGGCTCTAATACTACCTATTTGCAAGAACAATTTGTGATACTTCAGATTTTCAAAAACAAGAAGATTTGGCCTGTTTGAAACATTCTCAAAGTGAGTATGAAGAACTAAACAGACACCCTGGGGGGAAGCTGCTGTCAGCATTATAAAAATAGGCAACCACTCTTTTTTCCCCCCCAATATCTAGACAGCCCTTCCTTGCTATAGTCTCTTCCTGTGACATGTCCTGGTTCAACACAAATGATCCCTGTCTGGATTTGGAGACTGGAAGCCACTTCTCTCCTCAGAGCTAGAAAAGAACCCACTGGAGAGTGGCAGATCGCGCTGCTGGAGACGTTCCTTCGGAGCTGGCTTTGGACAGGATGGGAACTTTATCTGCCTGCAGCACGCCCTGGGCGCTGCCCAACCCCTCCTTCCCATCGCAGAAGCCTTGGAGGCATCTCGAGCCGGGCTCTTTTGTTATTTCTCCCTCCATCTTTCCCTGACCCGCTCCCAACTCTTCCTTGAGGGGCCGACTAAACTGGAGCAGGACATTTCTGAGCTGCGCCAGTGCATGGAGCAGAGTCTCTCCCTCTCCCTCTGGCAGGGCAGGTGTCTACAAGCCGCCCCCTGGAGCTGGGACAGGAGCGGGGGTAGCAGAGCCGGGGTTGGAAAGTGACCTGCCCTCCGCAGAGGTGCGGGCTGGGCTGGCACGGCTGAGGAAAGTTTGGCTGCCGGTGCCGGCGGCCTTACCTGGGCAGCGGCTTGCGGGCGGTGATGCTGGCCACGATGACGCTCTCGGGTCTCGGCGTGGCCACGGCCTTGAAGGTGCCTCTCCAGAACTTCTCGAAGAGCTGCTTCTCGCCCTGCTGCACGCTGGCCATGGCGGGGGAGCGAGGGCGGGCGAGAGGGCGGGCGGCGGCGGCGGCGCTCTCCGCGGTGCTGAACGCTACCTCCACGCCCGCGCCCGGGGCGGGGCGGGGC